CGGGTCAGGTGTTTGCTGCAGCGTCCAAGTCTGGTCCTGAGTCTGCCCCCTGCTCGTGTCGTCTCCTGTCTCACGAGACTCTCCTCTGGCACCACCGCCTTGGTCACCCCTCCCTACTTCGTCTCGAAGCATGGCCTCCCGTGTCCTTGTCTCTGGTCTTCTCCAGTCCTCCCTCCCCTTCCTCCTCCGGGGCCTGGCCCTACCTGCGTCCCCTGTTTTCGAGGGCGGCAGCGGGCTGCCCCTCACTCCTCTCAGTTTCCTCCGACAGAGGCCCCGCTGCAGACGCTTCACATGGACGTGTGGGGCCCGGCCCGCGTCCGTGGACAGGGTCACGAGCGCTACTTCCTACTGGTGGTTGACGACTACTCGCGTTACACCACAGTCTTCCCCTTGCGCAGCAAGGGTGATGTCACTGAGGTGTTGATCGACTGGATCCGCACAGCTTGTCTCCAGCTCAGGCGGAGCTTCGGCTCAGACTTTCCTGTTCTGCGTCTGCACTCTGACAGAGGCGGAGAGTTCTCCTCTGGCCTTCTGCGAGCCTACTGTCGTGCACGAGGCATCCGCCAGACCTTCCCGCTTCCGGACTCTCCACAGCAAAATGGGATTGCTGATGAGCCGCATTGGCATGGTCATGGACGTCGCCAGTACGTCCATGATGCATGCGCCTGCCCCCCATTTTTCTGTGGCCGTTTGCGGTCCTGTACGCGGCGCATCAGATCAACCTTCAGCCCCAGGGTCTACATGCCAGAGACCTCCCCTGCTTTGCTGTGGACGGGGAAGGTTGGCGATGCGTCTGCGTTCTGTGTCTGGGGATCTGGGCGTTTGTCCGCGACTTGTCGGCTGACAAGCTTGTCCCCTCGTGCTACTCCCTGCGTCTTCCTGGGTTTCCCCCCTGACGCGCCTAGGTGGCAGTTCTACCACCCCACCTCTTGCCGTGTTTCTGTCCTCCCAGGACGTTACGTTCGACGAGTCGGTCCCCTACTACCGTCTCTTCCCCTGCCACACTCCGTCCCTCCCCCCCGCCACCACTCTTCCTTGTGCCAGGTCCCCCCCCGGTAAACCCCCTCCCCCCGTAGAGTCCTGCCCCTTCAGGTGTGTCCCAGGTAGGCGCTGTTGAGCCTGTCGAGGTCGCTAGTGACTGTGGTGCTGCTGAGGGTGCTGAGCCTGGGGGTGCTGAGCGTGTGGGTGCTACGCCTCGGGGTGCTGAGCCTGGGGGTGTTGAGTCTGGGGGTGCTAAGCCTGGGGGTGCTGAGCCTGGGGGTGCTGAGCCTGGGAGTGCAGAGCCTGGGGGTGCTGAGCCGGGGGGGTGCTGCGCCTGGGGATGCTACGCCTGGAGGGTGCTGAGCTTGAGGGAGCTGGGCCTGCTCGTGTGGCGTCTGGCGGTGCTGTGCCTGGTGGTTCTCCGGGTGCTTCGTCTCGCCGGGAGCCACTCTCTCCACAGGAGCTGCGTGAGTGGTTTGCCTGGCGCTGAAGGCGAGCTGCTGGAGCTGGGGTGCTACAGGTACTGGAGGTTCTGCTACTGCTGAGGGTGCTGGTGCCGCGGGTCCCGGAGGAGCTCGTACTGGGAGTACTGGAGCTGCTGGGCCTGCGGGTACTTCTGGAGCTGGAGCTGCTGCGGGTGTTGGCGTGGAGGCTACTGCTGTCGGTCCTGGAGGCGGTACTGCTGGGGGTGCTACTGGTGCTGCCAGTCCAGATGTCACGCGTCTCCTTGCTACTGCTGTCACTGACCCTTCCTTTGAGTCCACTGCTGCGTCTGCCCTAGTTGCTGAACTCGTCGACTATGCTGCTCACTGTCGCCTAGACTACGCCGCCAGTCTTGTTGCTGAGTCTGAGTCTGTCTGTCCTCCGTCCGTCGGGGGTGAGTGTGCCCTTGGCACGGACGTCCTTGAGGACAGGCAGGAGGAGTTCCAGTGCTTGGCCGCTGCTTCACCTCATCTCGTGTCCGTACTGCTTACCCCTGAGGGAGACCCGGATGCACTTGACATCCCGACTCCGCGCTCTTACGCTGGAGGCGATAGAGGGTCCCTACTCCTCTCAGTGGCAGGCAGCTATGGATGCAGAGATGGCTTCCTGGAAGTCCACAGGCACCTACGTTGACGAGGTTCCCCCGCCTGGGGCGAACATCGTCACTGGCATGTGGATTTTCAGGGTGAAGCGGCCACCAGGTTCTCCGCCTGTCTTCAAGGCGCGTTACGTGGTTCGTGGCTTCAGTCAGCGGCAGGGAGTTGACTACTTTCAGACCTTCTCTCCCACCCCGAAGATGACCACTCTTCGGGTACTGCTGCACATAGCCGCTCAGCGCGACTACGAGCTTCACTCTCTTGACTTCAGCACCACTTTCTTGCAGGGCAGCCTGCACGAGGAGATCTGGCTGCGCCGCCCACCTGGCTTCACTGGGACTTTTCATCCTGGCACCCAGTGGAGCCTCCGTCGGCCAGTCTACGATCTCCGCCAGGCGCCCATTGAGTGGCACGACACACTGAGGACTACACTTGCGGCTCTTGGGCTTGCTCCATCTACTGCCGACCCGTCGCTGTTTCTGCGCACCGACACCTCTCTGCCGCCGCTCTACATCCTCGTGTACGTCGATGACTTGGTCTTTGCCACAGCTGACACTGCTGGACTCGCCTACGTGAAGTCGAGCTGCAGAAGAGACACACGTGCACCGACTTGGGTGAACTGCGCAGCTACCTTGGCTTGCAGATCACCCGGGACAGAGCACGCCACACCATTACCCTGACTCAGTCACACATGGTGCAGCAGGTCCTTCAGCGCTTCGGCTTCATGTACTCCTCGCCTCAGGCCACTCCTCTGTCTACTCGCCACTCGCTCTCAGCTCTGCCTTCGGATGAGTCCATAGAGTCGAGTGGCCCGTACCCAGAGCTTGTTGGCTGCCTCATGTACCTGATGACCTGCACATGACCTGACCTTGCATACCCTCTTAGCATCTAAGCACGCTATGTTGCTCCTGGGAGACACCGACCAGGGCACATGGCTGCAGCGAAGAGGGTGTTGCGCTACTTGTGCAGTACGTCGGGCATGGGGCTAGTGCTTGGAGGGCGACGTCGAGTAGTCCTCACAGGTCACGCAGACGCTTCTTGGGCTGACGACCAGGCAACACAGCGGTCTTCATAGGGTTACACCTTTAGCCTTGGTTCCGGCTCTCTTTCGTGGCGGGCTACTCGCTCGTCTTCTGTTCTCGGCTCCAGTTGTGAGGCTAAGATCTACGCTGGGGCCATGACTGCACAGGAGCTACGCTGGCTCACCTACCTGCTCACTGACCTCGGAGAGCCGCCTCGTTCTCCTCCAGTTCTGTACGTAGACAACAAGGCCATGCTGGCCTTGTGTCGAGAGCAGAGACTGAAGCACAGAACAAAGCACATTGCTCTCCACTACTTCCTTGCTCGTGAGCTGCAGCAGCGTGGTCAGTTGCGGCTTGCTTACGTGGCCTCTGAGGCCAACACTGCTGATGTGTTCACCAAGGCACTTGTGCCTTGTGATCATCAGCGCTTCTGCACTCAGCTGGGTCTTGTGCCTGTCTTGCCTCACTTGCTCACCTCTTGACCTTGCTTGTACTGTCACATATATATATGCCTGCTCTTGCTTGTCTAGCTTTATATATATGTGTACTCTTGCATGTGAACTGGCCTTGTGGCCTTGACCTTGTGCTCGAACTGTGTGGTGACTTTGAGATCCACCCTGAGCTTGCTTTGCTTTGCTTTGCTTGACTGGTCTTGTGACCCCTTGTTCTCCCCCACTTTGCCTATGGGGGTGTGTCGGAACATTATATAGCTTATACATTTGTATAGGCTGTAGTGGGTATCCCATAGGGGGTACAACCCAATTAGGGTTAGTACTTGTACCCACTTCATTCATAGTTCATCCATTCTCGTTTCAGTTTTCTCACTCCAGGTACCTTGTCTCTGGTCTTCCTAGAGTTCTCCCTTCCCTGCCTCCCTCCCCTGCTCCTCCTTGTCTTCCCTGTGTCGAGGGGCGGCAGCGCGCCGCTCCTCACTCCTCCTTGTTCCCTCCCACAGAGGCTCCTTTGCAGACTCTCCACCTGCACGTGTAGGGCCCCGCCCGCGTCCCGGGACAGGGCCACGAGCGGTACTTTCTGCTGGTCGTCGACGACTACACGCGCTACACCACAGTCTTCCCCTTGCGTACCAAGGGTGAGGTCCCTGATGTCTTGATCCCCTGGATCCGCGCTGTTCGTCTCCAGCTCCGCCAACGGTTCCAGTTGGACTTTCCTGTCCTCCGTCTGCACTCTGACAGAGGTGGCGAGTTTTCCTCTCACCTCTTGGTGGCCTACTGTGCGTCATCTTATGATGGTTTGCCAAGGAGATTCTCATGGTCTACGAAAATTTACTGTCTCGAGTGACAAAGCCATGCTTTGGAAGGGGAACCTCGCCTGCATGGACAGGAAAGACGGCCGTGAGTGATTAACCTGACTGATAGACAGCATGGCGCTTATACTCAAAAACAAGGCATGATGAAGTGCTGGTTGGCAGGACAAGCGGCGAGCATGCCAATTGGGTGGGCGACGATGCCGGCCCACAAGGTGGTGATGGTGTTGTAAAAGAGGAGGTGATAAGTGGAAAGCCATGGCGACTAAACTAGCAAACGTTGTAGGCCAATCTCCACCCCCTGTTGCGAAGAGATGGGAGTATGCGCAAGAGAACACATGTTTCATAAGGTTCATTTTTTTTCACGGAGAGAAGCCTTTTTGGGTGCCAAAGGAGGTCAAAATGATTGATGGAGTGGGAACTAGGGGGCCTACCATAAGCAAATTTTTAACAGCAAAAGGGAAGTTAAATACATGTGGTTGCTGACTTGAGTAACGGGTAGCTGAACGACGGAAATGTGCGCTTGAAGCATGGGAGGCAGCACTAGCCACCTAAAAGGAAGTTCTACTATCGGATCTCAATGGAGCAGTGATTCTGGAGGTTGCTGAGCTAGCTAGGATGGCATCGTATAGACCTAATAGTTATGTATTAGCAATGTCAGGCATATATGCTATAGTCTGGGTAGGTTGTACTGGGGCAGTTCATATGGGGTACATCACTTTAGGGTTTACCACTTGTACTCCTCATTCTGCTCAATGCACTCATTCCTCGTTTCTTATCATGGTATCGAGCAGGTTCCCTAGTGGGAACGCTACCTAGGGCCCACCACGATATTTTTTTTCCTGCCCGGAGGGCGCTTCACTCCTGTCCGAATCGCGCTCAGTGGCCCATCTCTACCTTCGCGCCGCCCTTAGTGGCCCCTCTCACGGCCCCTTACGCCGCCCTTACGGCCCCTCGCGCCGCCCTTACGGCCCCTCGCGCCGCCCTCTACGGCCCCTCGCGCCGCCCTTCGGCCCCTTACGGCCCCTTAAGGCCCCTCGCGCCGCCCTTACGGCCCTCGCGCGGCCCCTTTCGGCCCCTCGCGGTGCCCTTTCCGGACCCTTACGGCCCCGTCGCCGCCCCGTTTAGGCCTCTTGCAGCCCCTCTTCAGCCCCGTCTAGGCCCCTTGCAACCCCTCTACGGCCCCGTCTAGGCCCCTTACGGCCCCTCTGCGGCCCCTTGCGGCCCCGTCACCGCCACCTGCGGCTCTTTCGCTATCACCTGCGGCCCCGTCGCCGCCACCTGCGGCCCCGTCGCCGTCACCCGCGGCCCCGTCGCTGCCACCCACGGCCCCGTCGCCGCCACCTGCGGCCGCATCGCCTCCACCTGCGGCCCCGTCGCCGCCACCTGCGGCCACGCAGCCGCCACCTGCGGCCCCGTCGCCGCCACCCTGCGGCCCCGTCGCCGCCACCTACGGCCCCGTCGCCGTCACCTGCGGCCCCGTCGCCTTCCCCGAGCGGCCCTGTCACCGCTCAGCCGCCCAGCGACCGAGCCGCCGAGCAGCCCACCAGCCGAGCCGCCCACCTGCCGAGCAGCCAAGCCGCCCAACAGCCAAGCCGCCGAGCAGCCGAGCCGCCCAGCGGCCGAGCCGCCCAGCAGCCGAGCCGCCCTGCCGCCGAGCCGCCCAGCAGCCGAGTAGCCGAGCCGCCGAGCCGCCCTACTGTCGAGCCGCTGCTGTTCCTACCGGTGCTCCTCGGCCCTCCTTCCTCGGACTGGTGAGCTCACTCCCTACTAGGCCACTGCAGTCATGGCTACCCCCAGTGTCCTTACTTTTGATGCTGAGGGCCGTGCCGTTGACTTTGAGTTCTGGGTCGATGACCTCCAGCTGTTTCTCCTGTGCGATAGGGCAGACGGACTCTCTCTGTTCGATCTCACCTCTTGTGCCTCTCCTGCCCCGCCTGCTACTGCTGACAGCACTGTTCGCTCACAGTGGGCCACACCCGATGCTGCTGCTCGCCTTGCTGTGCGCCGCCACTTACCGACCACTGAGCGTGCATACTTTAGCCAGTACAAGAGTGCTCAGACCTTGTACGACGCTGTAGTTGCACGCTACTCTTCCCCTGCCACTGCTGCACTGAGCCGCCTCATGCTACCGTACCTCTTCCCTGACCTTGCTGCCTTTCCCACACTCACTGACCTCATTACGCACCTCCGCACTAGTGACACTCGCTACCGCGTTGCGCTTCCTGCTGAGTTCTGCGCCAAGAACCCCCTCCCCCATGTACATTACCCTCAACTACATAGTCACCCGGCTCCCTGACTCTCTCCGCGTAGTCAAGGACCACTTCCTCTCAGTTTGCCCCACCACTCTCACCGTTGACCTCCTCGAGAAGGGCCTCCTAGCAGTAGAGAAGAGCATAGTCGCTGTAGCAGCCTCTCGTGGTGACCCTCACACCCCCGTCTTTGAGGGGTGTTCTCCCTCCCCCCTCTTGCCCTCTGATGCCTTTGCTGCTGCGGCCGACCTTGTTGGTTTCGAGTCGGTCGGCGCCGCGTCTGCCCCGAGCGGGAAACGCCGCACCGGCAAGGGCAAGGGGGGCAAGGGCGCTGGAGGGGCTGGCGGGGGCGGTGGCGGAGGGAGCGGAGGCGGCGGAGGTGCTGGAGGCGACGGAGGCGGCGGAGGTGGCGGAGGCGGCGGCGGCAGCAGTGGACCTGGTCGCAGCTCTGCACAGAGGAGTGGCTTTGGTGGTGGTACGCGCCAGCAGCAGCAGCGCAGTCGTGAGACCCTGTCCCCTCAGCAGCTTCGTGAGTGATACGCTGCCCGTCAGCGCGGTGGGGGTACAGGTCCCTGCACCTACGTTCTCCGCACCGGCGACCGCGCTGGTGAGCTGTGCGGGGGCCCGTACTCCACCCAGCGCTGCTTCGGCCGCCTGACGGACGCGTAGCGTCACCAGTTCCCTGAGGCCTCTGAGATCCCTCGCTAGGGAGAGCTGTCTAGGGCGGGGGTTGCTATCTTTGATCTTGATTTTGATGCTATTCTTGCTGCCATGTATGCTGTTGCTGATAGTGTTGAGGGTGACTTTTACCTGTGTGTTCCCCCTGACCCGGGCATTGAGCCTGCTGCTCTAGGTGCTGGTGAGGCTGCTGCTCTAGGTGCTAGCGCGTCTGCTGTCCCAGGTGCTGATGAGTCTGCCCTCTCAGGTACCTCGTCGGCTCATGCCTTACACACCTTCACCATTGACTCGGGTGCTTCCCGCTCCTTCTTTCGAGACCGCACCACGCTTACGCCGCTTAGTCAGCCGGTTGCGGTCTCCCTGGAAGACCCCTCTGGGGTTCCTGTCCTTGCTAGCTTCTCCATTGTCTTACCGTGCCCAGCAGCCCCCTCTGGCACCATGTCACGTCTCTACCTCCCCTCGTTCTCTACGAACTTGGTGAGTGGAGCTGATCTATAGGATAGGGGGGTTGACCAGTTCACTCCTGCGAGTCAGTAGGTAACCCACTACACGTGTGCTCGCACATGCCGACACTTGGCCACGTTCACCCGTCGGCCGGGGTCGAGCCTATACACACTTACTACTGAGTCTCCTCCGGTTGCTGAATCTGGTCAGGTAGCTGCGTCGAGTCAGGTGTTTGCCGCAGCGTCCAGGTCTGGTCCTGAGTTTGCTCCCTGCTCGTGTCGTCTACTGTCCCACCAGACTCTCCTTTGGCACCACCGCCTTGGTCACCCCTCCCTGCCTCGTCTCCGAGGCATGGCCTCTCATGTCCTTGTCTCTGGTCTCCCCCGGTCTCTCCCTCCCCTACCTCCGTGGCCTGCCCCTACCTGCGTCCCCTGCGTTGAGGGGCGACAGCGCGCCGCCCCTCACTCCTCCGAGTTTCCTCCGACAGAGGCTGCGTTGCAGACTCTTCACATGGACGTGTGGGGCCCCGCCCGCATCCGTGGACAAGGGCACGAGCATTACTTCCTGTTGGTGGTTGACGACTACTCGCGTTACACCACAGTCTTCCCCTTGCGCAGCAACGGTGACGTCACTGAGGTGTTGATCGACTGGATTCGCGCAGCTCGTCTCCAGCTCAGAGTGAGTTTTGGCTCCAACTTTCCTGTTCTGCGTCTGCACTGTGACAGAGGCGGGGAATTTTCCTCTGCCCGTCTAGGAGCCTTCTGTCGTGCACAGGGCATCCGTCAGACCTTCACGCTTCCGGCCTCTCCACGGCAAAATGGGATTGCTGAGCGCCGCATTGGCATGGTCATGGACGTCGCTCGTACGTCCATGATCCATGGGGCTGCCCCCCATTTTCTGTGGCCGTTTGCGGTTCAGTGCGCAACGGATCAGATCAACCTTCAGCCCCGAGTCTCCTTGGCTCAGACCTCCCCCACCTTGCGGTGGACGGGGAAGGTTGGCGATGCGTCTGCGTTTTGGGTCTGAGGATCTCGGGCGTTTGTTCGCGACTTGTCTGCGGACAAGCTGTCCCCCCATGCTGTTCCCTGCATCTTCCTTGGCTTCCCCCCTGACGCGTCTGGTTGGCAGTTTTACCACCCCACCTCGCGCCGTGTTCTTTCCTCCTAGGATGTCACCTTTGACGAGTCGGTACCTTTCTACCGTCTCTTCCCCTACCGGGCCGCGCCCCTTCCCCCGCCGCCGCTCTTCCTTGCACCAGGTCCTCCCCCGGTAGACCCCCTCCCCCCTCAGGGTCCTGCCGCGTCAGGTGTGTCCCAGGTAGACGCAGTCGAGCCTGTCGAGATAGCTGTTGACTCTGCTGCTGCTAGAGGTGCTGAGCCTGCGGGTGCCGGGTCCAGGGGTGCTGAGCCTGGGGGTGCTGAGACTGGGAGTGCTGAGACTGTGGGTGCTGAGACTGGGGGTGTTGAGACTGGGGGTGCTGAGCCTGGGGGTGCTGAGCCTGGAGGTGCTGAGTCTAGAGGTGCTGAGCCTGGGGGTGCGGAGCCTGGGGGTGCGGAGCCTGGGGGCGCTGGGTGTGCTTGTGTGGCCGCCGGTAGTGCTTCGTCGAGGCGGGAGCCACTCTCTCCACAGGAGCTGCGCGAGTGGTTTGCCCGGCGCTAGAGCCGTGCTGCTGGAGCTGGAGGTACTACTGTTGCAACTGGTCCCGGAGGTGCTCGTACTGGCAGTGCTGGAGCTGCTGGGCCTGGGGGTGCTACTGGGGCTGCTAGAGTTGGTCCTGCTAGAGATGCTGGCGGTAATGGAGCTGCCGGTTCTGCTGGAGTTGGTGCTGCAGGATGAGCTGGAGCTGCTAGAGCTGGAGTTGCTTGGGGTGTTGACGCTGGTGGTGCTGCTGGCGCTCGTGCGTCTGAGGGTGCTGGAGTTGGCACTGTTGGAGCTAGAGGTGCTGCTGGCGCTAGTGCTGCCGCTGGGGGTACTAGTGCTGTCCGTGCTGGTTCTGGAGGCGTTGCGCGACCGCGACCGTACTTCATTCCGCTCCTTGAGCAGGTTCTTGGTCTTCCGCCTTCTACTGGTCCCGCTCCTCCCTTAGAGTGTCCACAGCCTGTCAAGTCGCTGTCACAATTACAGCCCGCCTCCCCTCTTCCTGCTCCTTCTCCCTACACAGGTCCTACTGGAGGTCTTGCTGAGCGTCGTGAGCCTGCATCTCGTCCTGCGTCGCCTGTTCGTGCTGCTCGCACTAGTCGTCATGCTCCGCGTCCTCCTGCGGTCCCAGGCACACACCAGATGGCACTGAGTCGTTCCACTGCTCCTCTGCGTATCCCGTTGCGGTCCCCTTCAGAGTCCTCTCTTCCTGTGCTTGCTCACCCGAAGTCGGACTCTCTTCGTGCTGCCAGTCCTACTGTCACGCATCTCGTGGCCACTATTGTCACTGACCCTTCCTTGGAGTCCACTGCTGCGTCTGACTTAGTGGCTGAGCTTGTCGACTTCGCTGCTCGCTGTCGTCTAGACTACGCCACTAGTCTTGTTGCTGAGTCCGAGTCTGACTGTCCTCCGCGCGTCGGGGGTGGGTGTGCTCTTAGCACGGACGTCCTTGAGGACAGGCAGGAGGAGTTCCAGTATTTTGCTGCTGCTTTGCCTTATCTCGTGTCCACGCTTATTGCCCCTGAGGGAGACCTGGATGCACCAGACATCCCGACTCCTCGATCGTACGCTGAGGCGATCGAGGGTCCCAACTCCTCACAGTGGCAGTCAGCCATGGACGCAGAGATGGCTTCTTGGAAGTCCACAGGCACCTATGTCGACGAGGTTCCCCCACCTGAGGCAAACATCGTCAGTGGCATGTGGATTTTCAGGGTGAAGCGGCCGCCGGGTTCTCCGCCTGTCTTCAAGGCGCGTTACGTGGCTCGAGGCTTCAGTCAGCGGCAGGGAGTTGACTACTTTCAAACCTTCTCTCCCACCCCGAAGATGACCACTCTTCGGATGCTGTTGCGCATAGCCGCTCAGCGCGACTATGAGCTTCACTCTCTTGACTTCAGCACAGCTTTCCTGCAGGGCAGCCTGCACGAGGAGATCTGGCTGCGCCGCCCTCCTGGCTTCATTGGGTCGTTTCCTCCTGGTACCGAGTGGAGCCTCCGGCGGCCAGTCTACGGTCACCGCCAGGCACCCCGTGAGTGGCACGACACACTGAGGACTACACTTGCGGCTCTTAGGTTTGCTCCTTCTACTGCCGACCTGTTGCTGTTTCTACGCACCGACACCTCTTTGCCGCCATTCTACATCCTCGTGTACGTCGACGACTTGGTCTTTGCCACTACTGACACTGCTGGACTCGCCCACGTGAAGTCTGAGCTGCAAAAGAGACACACGTGCACTGACCTGGGTGAACTGCGCAGCTACCTTGGCTTGTAGATCACCGAGGACAGAGCACAGCGCACCATTACCGTGACTCAGTCACACATGGTGTAGCAGGTCCTTCAGCGCTTCGGCTTCACGTACTCCTCGCCTCAGGCCACTCCTCTGTCTACTCGCCACTCGCTCTCAACTCTGCCTTCGGATGAGTCCGTAGAGTCGAGTGGCCCGTACCCAGAGCTTGTTGGCTGCCTCATGTACCTGATGACCTGCACATGACCTGACCTTGCATACCCTCTTAGCATCTTGGCACGCTATGTTGCTCCTGGGAGACACCGACCAGGGCACATGGCTGCAGCGAAGAGGGTGTTGCGCTACTTGTGCAGTACGTCGGGCATGGGGCTAGTGCTTGGAGGGCGACGTTGAGTAGTCCTCACAGGTTCCGCAGACGCTTCTTGGGCTGACGACCAGGCTACGCAGCGGTCGTCACAGGGTTACACCTTCAGCCTTGGTTCCGGCTCTGTTTCGTGGCAGTCTACCCGCTCGTCCTCTGTTCTCGGCTCCAGCTGTGAGGCTGAGATCTACGCAGGGGCCATTCTGCACAGGAGCTACGCTGGCTCACCTACCTGCTGACTGACCTAGGAGAGCCACCTCATTCTCCTCCAGTTCTGTACGTAGACAACAAGGTCATGCTGGCCTTGTGTCGGGAGCACAGACTGGAGCACAGAACGAAGCACATTGCTCTTCGCTACTTCCTGGCTCGTGAGCTGCAGCAGCGTGGTCAACTTCACCTCACCTACGTGGCCTCCGAGGCCAACAATGCTGATATCTTTACCAAGGCCCTTCCGCCTTGTGATCATCAGCGCTTCTGTGCTATGCTAGGTCTTATGCCTACTTGGCCTCACTTGCTCACTTCTTGATCTTGTTTGTACTGTACTCTTTCTACACGTGCACTTGCTTGTTTACCTTTATATATGTGATCTTGCATGTGAACTGGCCTTCTGGCCTTGCTCTTGTGCTCGAACTGTGTGGTGACGTTGTGATCCACCCTGAGCTTGCTTTGCTTTGCTTGATTGGTCTTGTGACCACTTGTTCTCCCCCACTTTGCCTATGGGGGTGTGTCAGGCCTATATGCTATAATATGTGTAGGCTGTAGTGGGGCAGTTCATATGGGGTACAACACTGTAGGGTTACCACTTGTACTCCTCATTATGCTCAATGCACTCATTTGTCGTTTCTTATCAAGCAACAGCGAGCAGCTCAAGGGAAGCATGTTTCAAGAAGATGAGTGGACGTCGGCAAGAAAGGTGGAATTTTATTAGATCGAACATGTGGGCCTGATATTGTAAAGAAGGAAAGGATAATAATGCAAGTACCCTGAAAGGGTTATACCCTATATAGGCTACCTCACTAGAGCCTATAACAACAACCTGATATATAATTTAACACAACCCCATAAGCAAAGTGGGGGGAAGCAAGAATAACAAACGGTCACAAGAACAGCTAAGAGAGGAAACAAAACAAAGCTCGAGGGGGATCTCAAGATCATCACACAGTCCGAGCACAAGCTTGCGGCCACAAGGCCAGTTCAGGTGCAGTGTTATAATAACACAAGGGGTATAGTGATTACAAACTAGGAAGAGTAATTATGCAATTAAATATATATGTTTATATGTACAGTAAAGCACAAGGCAAAGTCAAGAGGTAAGCAAGTGAGGCAGAGTAGGCACAAGGCCTATAGCAGTGCAAAAATGCTGATGATCACCCGACCAAAGAGCCTTGGTGAAGATATCATTGTTCTTGGCTTGTGAGGCCACGACGAACTGACCGCACTGCTGCAACTCTCACAGGAGAAATTGATGAAGGACAATGTGCTTTGTTATGTGCTCAAGTCTTTTCTCCCGAGACAAGGCAGTCATGGCCTTGTTATCAACGTACCGAATTGGAGGAGAACGAGGCCACTCACCCAAGTCGATCGGCAAGTAGGTCCACTTAGTGTAGACCACAGCACATAAGATGAGTGAGTGGAGCTCCACGAGACAGAGCCAGTGTCACGACTAGGTGTAGTCATGTGAAGGCAAGGAAATCCACAAAGCGTTTGAGTGTCCTGTGAGCACAACTCGACCCCGTCCTGAAAGCACAAGCCCAAAGCTTGATGTAATCACCAAGTATCGCAACACCTTCATACCAACCTGCCATTGCCTAGGGCGGTGTCTGCCAGGCGCAACGTAGCACGCCAGGATGCTGAGAGGTTGCGTGAGGTCAGGTCGAGTGCACGTCATCAGGTACATAAGACAACCCACTCGGCTCTCGGAACGAAAGTGGAGCTGCTAGAGAGTGGCTCGAGCGAAGAGGAGTAGGCTGTAGCGTGAAGAAATGAAAGCAGGAACGCTAAAGGACCTGCTGCACCATGTGTGACTGAGTCAGAGTTATGGTGCACGTTGCTTTGTCCCGGGTGATATGCAAACCAAGATATCTGCACCCAGGTTAGTGCAAGTATGTCACTTCTGCAGCTCCACCTTCACAAGGGCAGTGCCTCACTATGAATATTCGCAAAGACCAAATCGTCAACGTACACAAGGATGTAGAACGGCGGCAAAGTAGAGTCAGTGCGCAGAAACAAGGACGGGTCGGCAGGCGAAGGAGCAAAGCCAAGAGCCACAACTATCGTCCTTGGTGTG